GTTATTTAGTTTTGAGGTTTATTGGGATTTATTGGTTTTAAGTTAGTATTCTTCATTTAAAAATCTAATCACATTCGGTTAATAACTTTGTTGTTAATTTCAGTTTTCGATACTATTCTAGCGATAACATTTGTGATATTCTTGAAGCATAGAAAACGGTAAAGCCACCTTGGTGCTGTTTGATATGAAGCTATTCATGATGACTTCCATGAGATAAACAGTGCTAGATTTGACTTTCCATCTGTAGACTAGGAGTAAAGATGTCTAACTATTTTACGACTCCTATATATCAACTTCGAGATTCACCTAGTAAAGGTGAAGTGTTCAGGTGTTCGGAAAAAGATTTTTGTATCATACTTACTACAAAAGATTTTTTGTCAAAATAATTATGAATATTTTCCTTCAGCTAGCTGATAACTTAAAAATCTTTTAGAATACAGAGTGAAATTAATTTCTCTCGCCAGCCAGAAATAAAATCTTCAGTAAGTGTGAACAAAATAGTTAAACAAACAAACTAAATTTAGTTTCATTGATATATAAGGCTGGTCAACAAATACTTTATCATATTTATTCTATTGCACAACAAATTGAAAACGAAAATTAAAAATTTTCATTTCGTTTATGGAACAAAATATACAAGATCATAAATCACTTTCAGCAATCAATTGAAAGTACTTGAGTATGTTACTCTGTTGAAATCTAGATAAGAAAATACTTTCAAATAAAACCTTATTGATGTTTTATGCTTATGTCGGCATTTAATTCATTTAAAAGGTCACAGAAGTTGTCTCTGTTATTAGCTCTGAAATCATGTAAATACTACTTACAAGTTAAAACTCCTAGCTGATTTTCGATGTGATTTTTTTATGAGTTTGTATGAGGTATCTCAAATAGTACCTGGGAAAATTAGGTACCTATATATAACTGCTTGTTCACGTATAGCTAAAGACTGATATTTACTGAGTTGGATGCTTTTATTGTTATCTGTTGGTGTGCGGCGTGTCGAAGACTGGTCAGTTGAGTCATTTCAGTATAGCTGTGGGATGTAAGATGATGACGGTGGTGATTATGATACGTATACACTTTTCTTGGATGAAACTAAAAAGTGTTCGATTCCTGATAAACTTGAAACCATCTACACAACCGTCTACTTTACAATGCTGTGGTGACACCATAGAAGAAGAGCTTGACAATAAACTTACCGCGTTTTGGTATTCTGCTCATTTATTGACCAGGCACATGAAACAGATGAAATCTAGACCAAATATGATTAGTCTGTAAGAAACCTATTTATTTGAAATTTGAATTCAGAGCTGACATCATCAGCGAGATTATACTCCTACATTTGAGAAGGGCAATCCAGAGAACATTCAGCTATTTTCTGTCCTATCTTCTACAGCTGTCCAATCTTAGTTTCAGAATGTGTAGAGATACTCCCTATTTGTGCCTGTTCTATCTGTGTTTACCAGTTAAACATCTGCTGTAGGACAAGTCACACAGGGCATAGAATTTATCTAGTCAGTCGTAGGATATCTGCAGCCATCCAGATTTTGCAATTATCTACCGTCCAATATTCCACAGAGTCTACATATTCATTTACTACACATGACAGAAGCTATTGCCATACACTCCTTAAAACCAAATCATCGTATTCAGGAGAAATGAGGATAACCTTTGGCGTTACCCTTGCCACTAGGATAAATTCACTTCTAACTCCAATTCATTTATTTTTGTTTTCATTTGGTGGATTAAAATAATTTACTGTGAACCTTCTCCTCTGTTCAGCTTATATTATTTGTTACTTTATTATTCTGTCTATTCATTCTTATACAACTCGGTAACGTTAACACGTAATTACCTGCCCAGGTCATCCTCCATTTTTAATTGTTATGCAGTCAGCAAACTAACAATCTCTTCCATCTTATTCTGGAATTCTATTAATTCTGTGTAATTCCCGTATCTGTAAGTTTGCATCCTCACTTCTCCAATTGTTAGCTTCATGCGTAACTTTAAATTTGTAACTATTTTTTGAATCCATTAACCCACCACAGCTAAATGGTTTATTGTTATTAATTGTACATTAATTGGTCACCAGAGAGCAACCAATTTCAGATTTTCTAGTTCTGAAGGCTTATCCAATTCTATCAATCATTTTGGAGTGTGTCTACTAAGCTAAGAGTCTCACCATCACGATGTACCTTGATGGGTGTTAGTTGGAGGTAATCAGGAAAAATTTCTGGAACTGGATTTCGTACCTAGTGGGAAACGTCAGCCGGAGGTGACTGTAGCCTAGACAGAACTCATATCCCCTCTGAAATTTAAATGCAAACCGCCTAGAGTTCCAAACAGCAACACTGTCACTGAGCTGTTCGAGCATCTGTCGACCTTCATTAGTGGTGGATTAGATATATTGATTAGTCACTGATTAATAACCAATTTCATGTTGCCTAATCCCAGGTGTAAGGGTATAGTTAAATTATGTGCTGGCTTATGAGAAAGTAAAAGGTTATGCAGTACTTTTTACCGTCTTGTTTATCAAACACTACTTGACACACAGACCTCTCTTTGTTGACCTGACTTTAAATATAGTACTGTCAAGTTGTGTAAACCAGATTCACTGCATCATTTCACACTTAGCTTATCAACAGCTGTAATTAATTCTAACTTACCCAAAGTGACTTAAGGAACCACTCCGACAACCAATGAAATAACCATTTACTAACGACTGCTTTCCAAGATGGTATGAAGAAACCTAGTCGACAATTTTAGTATTTGTTTGGCTTGAGCTTAGAGTAACTTTAATTGAAAGGAATGTATCATTCTGTATGTGACTACATTTTTAAGCAGAGATTTCTTTGATTACTCATACTTATATATGTGACCTGATGATGGCAGTTTTATTATCGACAAAACTCTGGCTAACAGAGGTTGTTGGCAGGTAAATTTATAGTTTCTAAAGACACCTGTATAGAAGTCAGAGTTAAGAATTTTACTTAGAGCATACGGCTGAAATTGCCTTTATTAAGACTCCCATATCAATTTCACAAAGATTATTGGGGTTGACTTTTTTCTGCAATATGTATTTAAGGATTTAATAATGAGTTTCTAAAGATGGTGGATCAGTTAAAATTTTATTCCTGGGAAGATTAGCAAATCATGTCATCCAATCTATCCATTCATACTGTCTTGAGAGGAAACATTAGTGACTAATAATGAAGTAGCAACTCATCTATTATCATTGTTTGAGAACTAGACGAATCTTCATGTAGCAGTTTCGGGCCGTTTTCGTAAACGTGGTCAGTATTACAGAAGTTACGCAATTACCTATCTTTAAACATATCCACTTGATGGGGTCATGAGAGAGAGGACTGGTAAAACGCTGTGATTTAGACTCATTCGTTGGTGATCAAAACTACATACCTCCATATATTGGCCAGTATTAGTAAACAGTCGACAGTATTGAGTTGTCTAATGACTACGTAGGAAGTGGTGATTCATAGCTAATTACATGATATACTTTGGCAAATAATGCTGGCAAAATAGGGGAAAATTTCAAGTTTCTATGGCTTTTAACCACCCTAATCTTGAATAGCAAGAAGGTAGCTACGTAATCGAAGATATTACTGCAAACTCACGTCTATGTGCAGTACAAATTGTATTTGCATGTCCATATATAGTTTTAGCTTGATGGAATATTTTTTGGAAATCTCTGCCTAATGGTATATTCAGACAGTTAGGTTTTACAGAACGTAATTAAGTAGTCTTTAGAAAATTTCTCAAATATTTTTCAAAAATGCTAACTAGCTATGAACATTTTCATAATTTTTGACTTCTTCAGCCAATATAGACGTAAGGTTTGACCTTTAACATATAAAAACCAAGTCAGTTAAACTCTAAATCACTAATATATAAACATAATGACAACTTTAAATTATATGAAAACTAGACATTTATCCAGATTTTATGGTGATAAATTATCAACATCTTGCAGTACAACAACTGCTATCCACACCATGAGACAGACATGAGTTAAGCCATCGATTATAAAGTACCTAATATTCAGATTTTACATTAAAATGACAAGAAAACGAACAGGAAATTTATTTTCTAACTGACAACATCCAAATTGTTCAAATTATCTAAAAGCTATCTTTAGAATGAATTCATGACAAAAAGTGGCTAACGAGTTGATTTAATGTGAATGTATAGGATATCTATGCTCCGTTAATCAGAAGTAGAACGTAATAACGAACTAAAACTGATACGATGTAGCGTTAAAATGACCATATCAAAGAAAGTGCATTTGAAACAAACATAAAATGCATTTTAAATTTAATCTTCTTTTTCTATTAGTAAATAAGGTAACAACTCAAATTAGAATAATTAAAAAGTGAGGTTAACCAATTAAACGAATTCTATTCATCAAAAGAAACTCCAAGAAAATGATATCTGATTAGCAATTTAACAGCTGATAATTTCGCTAGTGTTTTGTTAATCATTAAACACACTACCAGTAAACAATACCAGTGACAGATACAGGTAAGTCCAATGCGCAACCATTTACATAATGAATATTGTTTTGTTTTTCAAAGAAGAAGCGAGAAGCAGTTCATAATCATTACATAACATAGTCTATAGCTTCATCAATAGTATAAGGTTGAAAACTCAAGCACTGAAGCACATATCATAAAGGATATAGGTGTTGCGTAATTACAAGGAATAGATCAACAGGAATTTATCTAAGTGTTCAGACAAGCATGAGTTATACATTTGTGTATATGTGAATGTATATTTCCCTAGGACAGTTAATTCTTATCAACTATGAAAAATAATTCTGTAGCAGAGAGTTTAAAATTGATTGATGTCAAAAATTGGGTTAGTACACACAGCAAAACAATATTTAGTATCATGTCAGAATGTAAGTAAATCTCAGCAAACCATAGAAACAATAAACAAAACACAAAGTGGACCAAAAAACTGATGGACAGCTGATAGGAGAATTAAAATATTTTATTCATGAAAGGAATTATAAGCACTGAGCTGAGAATAACAAAGAAGGAATTGGAAATGTGTTTTTGTGAAGAATTGCAGTAGTCTTCATCACAACATTCGGTTACTATCCCAATCTTGTTTAGACGACGATCTCGAGCAACACAACTTGTCACACAATCTTTCTCAATTCTATAATTCTCTTCATCACGGTAGGTGTGGACAGTCTAAACGTTTAATAAGAACATAAAAAATACTGTTTAACGAATTGTATAAGACTGAAACACATCTATTACATTTATAAATAAGAACAAGGCATGTATCAGCAAAGAAATATTTCTTTTCAACGACTTCATTATCAAGCTGTACAGTCGTATTTATACTCAGTAAAGTGACAGATAATTGCACTAAAAGGTTGCCCAGACAATATGCAAAATATACAATCGGTGTAGGTGGTTGTATTTGTCCAAGTGGAAGAGATAGAAAATGGGTCACTGAACGAATTGATAACAAGTGGTGAGATAAGAGACAAGTGTTGTCAAAGAATTGTAAAACGGTGATAATTAAGCTGAAACATGCAACGCACGTCAATGAATAATGAATGAATTGGTATTAAATAATGAAATATGAGTCAAATGTCGTTAACGAAGTGAAAACTGGTGATAATGATGATGATATTAAAAGAGAAGTATACCAAAGTGAAATAAAATTGACAAAATCAACAAAATGAATTATTAATGCCAAGGTAGAGAAAGAACTTTCACAAAACTTTTCTGAATGCAAAGTTTCGGTTTTTGTTCATGTATACCTAATGCTTCCACTATGCATAAGTAGTGGAAACGTAAACTTTTGGAGTAGTTCAATTTCGCTTTGTAAATTATTTTAAAGTATGAAGCTCGAGATGCTGAGTGACCTAACTCAACAAGGTTTTCACATATGGATGAAGTCATTTTCTTTTGCTCGCCATCTGATAAGCCAAACCGGGTAATGTTCAACAGCACATTTTCGGAGGGCCCACTTATAATGTCCAATATAGTCAGCTGCACAGGAGCATGTGGACTTTTAGGTACACATAGATGTGGATATAAGTGGAAGCCTATCCTTCACGCATTGACGAATCAGACGGCAGTTGGAGAATGTCAGTCTCAGTCTAGCAGCATGGAAGCTATTATTGAAACATCTTGACAGGTGATTTGAAATGTTTCAGCTTAATTATCACCGTTTTACAATTCTTTGACAACACTTGTCTCTTATCTCACCACTTGTTATCAATTCGTTCAGTGACCCATTTTCTATCTCTTCCACTTGGACAAATACAACCACCTACACCGATTGTATATTTTGCATATTGTCTGGGCAACCTTTTAGTGCAATTATCTGTCACTTTACTGAGTATAAATACGACTGTACAGCTTGATAATGAAGTCGTTGAAAAGAAATATTTCTTTGCTGATACATGCCTTGTTCTTATTTATGAATAAATGGGTATATTACATTTATGTTGATAGTGGGTAAAGTTACTCCTCGACATCATCAAAAGATATTCTTCAAGAGAAAAACAACCCATCTTCATAATAGCAACGGCACTCTGGACGGCTCTATAAATAGTTGAACCTGTGGACTCCACCAGGTGTCGTGAATTTATAAATATTTGTGGAATAATATTTCCAAGTGTAAGATGATAATGAATCAAATACCAGTCAACAGGTGAACTATTTCTGACCAAGCATTTACATCGTTGTCTAAGGCATGATAATTTCTTTTTTCACTATTTTGCAGTCTTTACACTTTGAGCTTGTGAAGATAAACAATTTTTGTAGTAACAGGTTTGGGATGGTGAGTTATACATTCATATATGCTAGAAGGTGTTTCCCTTTCTGTTTTACGAAGTGAAACTTCCAGTACATCATCATGGGTGTTCACTATGATAGAAATCAACTTTCAAACTTATGAATCTTCCAGGTAGTTTCCTAACAGAGTAATATTTTGAGCCATTCAATTTCCAATCGAAAAGTAGGGCATGGAGGTTGAATTTCACCAAATTATTCATCATTCAGTTCTAATTAGCACTCAAGTTAGTGAAATTGCATTTGCGACTAGATAACTAAACCACTTACCTCTTAAGGTAAGTCACATCACAAATATAATTTATCATCAGTTTGACTATCGGAGATAGCCATGGTCTGGCAGACGTGTACTGATGCTGGGTGATGATTGAAGGTGGAATAGAAATCCAGGCCACGGCAGGACTCGAACAAGAAACTACCGCGTTTCCTGTCTGGTGCTCTACCAATTGATACCCTAATGCGGATTGTTCATAACACTTTGAGACTAGTACAGTAGAAAATAAGCAGTCATAAGAATAGTGAAGTGTAATCGTTATGATGAAGAGATATCCTGAGGCACTTTCTGTGACACCAAAGATGCCTTGGTATGATGATGTTCATAGTATTATGCTGTCGTCACAAACAGTGAAGTCCGGTTAACTTATCCGTATAAAGCAAGATAACAGAGACACTAATTTACTTCTCGTAAATCCAATGGGTAATTCCAGCACAATGATCTTAATTAAATTATCCCATGATTATATTTAAAATGGCAATTTTTATGTTATTGACTGTACACCTCACTTTCAACAAACCGTAGAGTAATCAGCTGCTGACTTGCAGAAAAAAATACACTTCTGGTTCACTGATGGAAGTAGACAAGAATAGTTCGATACTGTGTTGAACCAGCACCACAAATAAAAAGAATGATAACTTCATCTTTCCAAATAATGAAAAATCATCTTTTTTTCCCTGAAACAATTTCGCACCAAAACATTTTCGTTGTTCTTGGATTTAACATGATCATTCTTTAATTGTTTGCTTACTGAGGCGAAATAATAACATAACGAATTATTCTTTCTAACAAACACTTTGCAGAAGCATTACTTTATGCGTTTAAAAAATAAATCGTGAACACATTTTCTTTCCATCTTTCTATCCATACTTAAGTTTCAAGTCCAACAGAAATTAGGAAGTCTTCCAGCTTTGTACATAGTTTGGATGATATTATGAGTGATGAAAAGTGTATATACTGTGAAAGTATACAATGTTTTGAAGATTTCACCCTTTACGGATACTGTTATACACTTCTTGTAATTCCGCTGGTCGGAAGACTTTGCAGTGATCTTTATTTTGAGTGTTGCTTGAAACGTCTGATGAATTCGAAACATAAGCTACTGCGATTGTAACACGTACTGAAGTTACTGTTTTAGGTTTTCAGTGAAAATGATGGCGTGAATATTTGACGAGATGGAAACAGAGACGAATCATGTTTTAACATGTTGTTAGTTTCCAAAAGCTTTTGAAGTCACTTTAGCATACCTCATTAAATCGATACCTCAAGAGAGAGGAAATGAAAGTATTCACTTGTATTGTATCAAAAATTCATCATCGTCATCATCCATCATAATACGACCAAGCATAAGTGCCTGACAGTCCGAGTTGCCACACCTCATGTCACTACATCAAGTAAAAAGGCAGTGAAGTGCAAGATGAACATAAGAAAATCCACTCAGAAGAAATATAAAGTACGAAAAAAGAGAAAGGAAGAATGAGAAAATGGTGAGATTTGGTATAGCCTAGTTAAGAAGAGGAGAATGTATGTGTACATCAGTGCCACTGACATCGGTCCTGAGACATGTCAACTCGAGTCTCTAAACACTGGTTCCTCTTCCACCGTGGACCACAACCACCTAGTCTGCATCACCCCACATTGTTCAAACCAACAGTCAGACACTTCATGCATTGATGCCATGTTTTAGTCCTGACACTTCCAGATGTTTTCCAGTCTGAATCTACTTCGGCCAACATTGTGTGACAAGGCAGATGGCGACTAGGCACCAGGCATACGTAACACACTTCCCAATCATCTCAGTCAATGAAGCTTCACAACCTCGTCAACTCAATTACCTATCCTCTCTAAAACTCCACACCTGACTCCTGCATTACTCACGTGGTGGTGACACTATGGAATACAGCCTTTACTATGAAGGCAACAGTGGTCAAACACCTGAAACCTTCTCATGTCTTCCACCTTCAACGGACATGTTTCACAGCCATACAGTAGGACAGAGCGGACTACTGTGCAGGTGCAGTACACACAACGCTTATTAGACAATCGAATATGACGGCGGTGCCACAGGTGGCGTGAGTTGACAAAAGTCAATCGAGCCCTTTGTATCCGTGCAGAGATTTCATCGGCCAGTGAACCACCAGTGGAGGACTGATGCTACTTCCCAGGAGAGTGAAGTAGTTGACACACACTCAAACACTACACTCTCTGTTGTTGTTAGCAGTGGTGGGGCATCATTGAACACCAATCCTGGAGTGACAATTTGCATTTAGGTGATGGGGAACGCACCCCAAACATTCTCCAATTGCCACTCAGTGTTCAGATGACTCTGCATTTTGTCAGCGACTTCACCTAACAGGATGATGTCATCTGCATATTCCAGGTCCAACGAAAATTCTCCCCTGTGTAATCAAGTGAGGAGAGAGGGACCTCGAGTAGAATATCCATGATGAAATCGAATGGGAATGGAGAGAGTGGGTACCCTGGATGGACACTACTTCATGATGATAGCTCCCTGGATATCTCACCATAGACTGTAACACACCGACGAGTGTTGGAGTAGACAGCCTTCAATAATGTGGTGCAATTACTCGGCATGCCTCCCATTGAGACATTGCATGAGACTTCTCGATCAACGATGTCGAATACCGCCGTCTACGGCAAGAGAAGTAGGGCTGGTGTTGGGCGTCGCTAAGCATGTCTGTGATCTGGAGCCTGGTGCATTGTGAATATTTGGTCGGTCGAGTCTAAATCTCTCAGGTAGGGCCAAAATTCTTGCAGGTTTTCTCGAGCTTGCTCTTCCCCAGCTCAACTCAGGAGTCGAAGAATTGTACAACCTAGAATCTTAGATACTATGTTCGTCAGGCTGATTCCTCTATGGTCATCACAAAACGACTTCCCACCTTCCTTGAAGACTGGAATAATCAGTGATTTACACCGGTCAGAGGGGATTGCATTTGATTCTCACACACTGGTAAATACTACCGTTAACTTGACTAAGAGCACTCTACCACCATCCTTGTATACCTCAGCAGTTAGTCCGTCTGGTTCTGCCTCCGTTTCTCATTTCAAGTTACTTACAGCTTCTTCGACATCTGCAAGTGTTGGT